TCTTACTCCGCCCGTCTTAGGTACCCAAATTCTATCTTGGAATACCTTCAACCCTTGGTTGTTTGTACCGAATACTAACGTTTTTCCCGAACGTTCTTCCTTTCGTTCACTTTTCTCTAAAGCTTCCTTTTGAGCTTTCTTTATACTTTCCACAATTGTCGAGACAACATCAATTCTCAATGCTCTTGGCCTTTTCTTTTCAAGGTTTACCTTCCAACTAAGAGCATCAGCAACAACATTTGCTTTACCAGGGTGGTAAAGTATCTCACAGTCGTAGTCCTTGAGTTACTCTAGCCAGCGTCGTTGCCTCATGTTCAATTCCTTCTGATTAAAGAGATATTGGAGGCTCTTATGATCAGTGAAAAGTTTGCATTTAGTACCATAAAGATAATGCATCCATATCTTTAGGGCAAATACTACCACTACCAACTCCAAATCATGAGTGGGGTAGTTCTTTTCATGCTCCTTCAATTGCCTTGATGCATACGCAATCACTTTATCCCTTTGGGTCAGAACACAACCTAACCCAACTCCAGATGCATCGCTATAAACTGCGAAGTCATCAACTCCTTCAGGCAATGAAAGAATCGGTGCTTCACACAATCTCTTCTTCAACTTCTCAAAGGCTTCCTTATGCTTCTCATTCCAATCATAAGTGGCTCCTTTGTGGGTCAAAGTTGTTAATGGAGTAGCAATTAAAGAAAAGCCTTGGATAAACCTTCGGTAATATCTAGCTAATCCTAAAAAGCTTCAAATCTCCGTAGGACTTTTTGGTTGTTCCCACTTCATTATAGCTTCAATCTTTGCTGGGTCAACCATTATTCCTTCTTGGTTAACCACATGACCTAAAAATTGGACTTCTTGAATCCAAAATTCACATTTGGAGAACTTTGCGTACAACTTCTCCTTTTTCAGGACTTCTAGCACTTCACGTAGATGCTTTTCATGTTCCTGCTTGCTTTTCGAATAAATCAAGATATTGTCTATGAATCCTATCACGGATTTATCTAAGCATGGTTTACAAACCCTATTCATCAAATCCATGAAACCTGCTGGGGCATTGGTTAGTTCGAACGACATAACCAAAAATTCATAGTGTCCATATCTTGTTCTAAACGCAGTCTTTTCGATATCCTGCTCTCTCACCTTTAGTTGATGGTATCCCGACCTAAGATCGATCTTCGAGAAATAGCTCGAACCCTGCAACTGGTCGAACAAGTCATCGATCATTGGCAACGGGTACTTGTTCTTTATCGTCACTTTGTTCAGCTCTCTGTAATCGATGCACATTCTCATGCTTCCGTCTTTCTTCTTTACAAATAACACAGGGGCTCCCCAGGGCGATGAACTAGGTCGAATGAAACCTTTGTCCATTAACTCCTGAAGTTGTGTCATAAGTTCTTTCATTTCGGTTGGCGCTAATCGATAAGGTGCTTTTGCTATCGGCGTCGTTCCTGGTAACAAGTCGATATGAAATTCTACTTGTCGGTCAGGGGGCAATCCGGGAAGATCTTCAGGAAAGACTTCCGGATACTCACACACCACCGGAATATGCTGCACCTCCTTCTTTTCCATCTTAGCATCAATCACGAACGCTAGATATGATGTACATCCCTTGGCCAAACACTTTCTGGCTTTCATTAGGGAAATGATTCCAGAATTTACTCTACGTTTGTCTCCATACACCATAAACGACTCTTTCCTTGGCGAGTTTACTTTTACTATCTTCTTTCTACATAGTATTTCTGCATCGTTGGCGCTAAGCCAATCCATTCCTAAAACTATGTCGAATCCATTTAACTCGATAGGCAATAATTCATATTGGAACTTATTCCCATCGAAGTCATTGAGGATGTTTTTCATACGATAGCTAACAGGTACAAACTTGCCACTAGCAATCTCGACTATTATAGCATTAACTAGCATATCTACAGGCAAAGCTAGCTTTCTACCAAATTCATGCGATATAAAGGAGTAATTGGCTCCAAAATCAAACAAAATTTGGGCAGGCAATTCGTTTACGAGAAAGGTACCTGAAGCAACATCGGCTTCTTCTTTTGCAGCTTCGAGTGTCATCTGAAAGGCTCTCGCCTTCGGCTTTGGTGGTAGATTGGGTTTTGTTGCGTCCTTCTTCTTCGGGAAGTCCCTCAAAATATGCCCTTCTTCATTGTACCCAAAACATACATTCTTATTGAAGGTGCATTCATTGGCATAATGCACTGGCTTTCCACATTTGTAACAAGTGACTTCCACACTGCACTTCCCAGCATGTTTCTTCCTACACTTGTCACACCACTTGGCTTCGCTTCCTCCTCCAAACTTTCTCGAACCAGTCTTCGAGAATTTGTTCTTTTTATTGGAACCTAAAGTTCCTTCAAACTTTCTCTTTTCGCCAACTTCAACCTTGCTGGCGGCTGTCCCTTTTATCATATCTTCAACAGACTTGGCAGCCTACATAGTTGCCTCCAAAGTAATTGCCTGATGCACTGGCACCGCGTACTCCCATGGTAGTCCCTTTGTGTACCTGTCAATTTTTGCCAACTCATATGGGACAATACGCAAAGCAAACTCCATTTTGTCTGTGAAGTTATTCGTATATTTGTCAACGGTCATACTCCCCTTCTGCAACGTTAGAAATTGGTTTTCTAACTCAAGTACATTTTGGGCCGAGCAGTACTTGCACTTGAAGTGCACTAAGAACTCTGCCCAAGTTAATTGTAGTGGCTCATTAGGACTTAGGGTTTTCCCCAAAGTGCTCCACCAACGAGTAGCACTACCCCTGAATTGACGTACTGCAAAGGTAGTTTGTAACTTGCCTTGGCAATCACAAGTCATGAAAGCCAACTCCATTTCCGAGATCTAGTACATTACTCCGACATGATCTTCTTTTCCATTGAAGGTTGATGGCTTGCAAGTCATAAAGTCCTTATACTTGCACCCATTTCTCTCCATTCTACCCTTGTGGTTATTTCTCCCAACCACAAGCGGTTCACTATGACCAACCGATCTACTATTGTTCCCTTTTCAGATCGATCATCATTTAGTTCACGTTGTTCAACAGGAACTGAACGTTCATCCCTATCGTTCAGCAACATTTGCCTCAATTCCTCCCTCTGTTCAGCCAACATGGTCTGAATCATAGTTCGTACTCCAGCCATGGTGATGGGTTCGGGTGCAGCTCCTACTATAGACACCTGTTCCACCACTTGGGGTTGAGGTTGTTGGTTGCTGTTTGCATTTCCAGCTCCACTCCGAGTTCTTGCCATTACAATCTATATACCAAATAAGGCGAATTTAGGTCTTTATCCTTGTTAGACATTTTAATTCCCTTATAACTCCGAAACGTTTACATGTTAGTTCTAATCTCGTAATTATACGCTTAGAATCCTACACACATAAGGTTTACAGATCCGGTCGGCAACAGACCATAGATCCGAACAAATAATGGCACACATAGCATTTAGCACATAAGGGCATTTTAGGCATCTTCCCTAAAATAAACTAGTGCTCGTGTCTAAAATATGGTAGACACTCATCTCACAATCATCACTTAGCATTCTAAGTTCAAGTCTAGAAATTCTACAATTTCTTAGTTCGCTTAAACTAATGCTCTAATACCAACTGTGACATCCCCTAATTTCTCGGCCAGAAAAGACCGATTTACTTTATGTTTTTTAAAACAAAATCAAAGAAATCTTTTTAAAAGATGTTGCGGAATTGGTCCCCAAACAACATATGATAAAAGTTTATCAAAACCCTTCATTAAGAAGGTATATATGTTCCATATATATATCAAAACCTCGGGATGTCATGTTCCGATACAGATCAAAAGCATAAACACGACATTATAAGCCTTTCAACAGGGATTTACAACTACTGGCCTATAATCCAAAAATCTCTTGTAGTCCTCCGACTATGCTTGGGGTCCACTACCTGTAATCATAAAAACTGAGTGGGTCAGGCTTGGGAGCCTGGTGAGCATATAGGGTTTTCAACCCACAATAATAATATACTTATTAAGTTCACCAATCAACAATAACCCTGATTACCTATTCCCGTTGTCCTCACTTTACGTCCCTAAACACCTATAACAAGGGACCTAGCCTAAGGATTTTCATCGGGATGGACACTACTGCTAAGGGGTTTCCTTAGCCATACATGTCCTAAAGGCAACCATGAGGGGGATGGAGTACGCCAATGAACATTTAATTCATTAACACCTACAAGTTGTGAACCTGCTAGTGTTCCACTGGACTGTCTAGAAAGTCCGTGGTAGTCATCTATACTCCGCTAGATGACTACAACAACAACAACAACATCGAGGCCTCTCACCTTTTTAACACACATCAACTATTTCATCTACCCATGTTCTACCCAACATATTTTGTAGATAAAAAGCATATACAGTTTAAAACTTGTATAAAACATCAATTCAACAGTCACCTCAAATAAACAATTAACTTATTTACACATAACACGTATTTCAAAGTAAATACTTCATATCTATGTGTAAATTGAAAGTAACTACAAACTCACATATTTTGATGAAAACTGGGCAACAATTCGTTTCCTAAAACGATCGTTTCTAACAAAACCAAGAGTTTTATTGAGAAACCGGGCTATGCAAAAGTCGGGTTTCGAAACCGAAAAGATAAATTTTCCGGGCTTCATGGGCACTTCGTGGAGTATTCCGGGCTTTACAATCGATACCGGGGCTTCGCGGAAGGTTAAGGTGAAGAAAATATAAAGAAAGGGGCTAAATATGGCAATTTCTTAAAAATATCCGAGAAGGCTTGCAGCCTTCTATTTATAGGGTGAAGCTTCTGATCCAAGGGCTCTGATCCGACGGCTGAGAGGCTTCGCAGGGGGGTGGCTCGCACAAGGCTGCGCATGGCTCGCACATGGGTCGCACCTGCGAGGGCTCGCTGGCAGCTTCTAAGTGGACCGCAGCCTACTGGTTCACATGCGAGGTTTGGAGGTAGGCTATGTGAGGCTCGAAGCTAGGCTATGCGAGGCTCGGAACGCGCGGCAGCAGGGCGAAGCTTCAGCCGGAGAGCTGGCTGCTTCGGATTGGGCCTCCTCCTCGGTCGAATCAGGATCGGACACGTGGCTTCGCATGACTCAGCAGCTTCGGTGACTCTGTAGCTTGGTGACTCAGCAGCTTGGTGACTCCGCAGGACACGTGGCAGTTTTTCAGCGAGGGTGACGTGGCAACTCGTGACTATGCGAATTTTCTCGATTTTCGCGCCAAAACTTCTAAAATCCATAACTTTCGCATACGAACTCCGTTTTTGATGTTCTTTATATGAACGCGTAGCTAACGTTACGTTCTACAACTTCCGTTTAGACTTCGTTGGGTAATTTTGACTTTAAATTTTATATTATTATTTTTAATAGACCGGGATAGGAAATCCGTTAAAAATTCATTACTTCATCATCCGACGTCCGTTTTCGTCAGACTTTTTACCGTTGTGCTCCTAATGACGAGACCTTCGATTCTCGTTTAGGTTGTGTCGGCTAAAAATCGCTCGATCTAAAATTCGAGGTTTTTAGCTATCTACTACTAAGCTGAAACTTCGAAAAATCATAACTTCCTCGTACGAAATCAGATTTGGGCGTTCTTTTTATCGAACTTCTTAGTTTAACAAATACTACGACTTTCGTTTAGATTACTAAGGCTAAAAAGTAGTTTATCAAAAACTCACTTTTTACGATATTCAGTACCGTGTCGGTTTTGTCGCGAAACATCGCCAGGTCATAACTTCTTCGTTATAACTCGGATTTCGGCATTCTTTATATCCCTGAAATCCTTGTTTCGACCACTACAACGTTGTGTAAAGATATCAGGCTTATCTAATACTTTAATTTTGATGCTTATTTTTATTCTTAATTAATTAAGCCCTAATAATTAAGCATAAAACACATAATTCACATAATTCCTTTTCATTTCTTCAAAATGAGTTACAAAGGTTAACCTAGACTATCAACTCAATATAAATTCCTAGGATAGAAACACGAGTGTTACAAAAGTCATCGTGGACAACATCTGAATTATTACATTCCTACAATGTCAATAAATTGGAATATATAATTGTTCAATTACTTTTTTTTTACCCATTGTAAAATAATTGTTCAAAAGTTTAAAAAGATGGTCAATTTCATAATTGACACCACCCACTTTGATAAATATACCATACCTTTTGTCCTGTTTCCTTTTCAATTACATTTGCATTAAACTCGAGAAAGCCAAGTCGATTGCCAAACGTGTCAACCCCTATATCAAAAGTATAGTATCAAATTGTTAAAAGAGATTGAGTGATAAGGTACTTATTATTGATGAACAAGAAGCTTGAAGATAATACCTTAATAAGGAGTTGTTTTAGAAACAAAATGTCACACCCCCAAACCAAGGATGGCGGAAAGGTCAGGGGGGTGGCGGACTTCATTTGTAGTATCATGGCAATGAGTATATAAGTGAGCATAGTATATAAAACCAATCATAAATATAATCTGAAAAAGGTTACATAGTTTCAAAGTGTTACATGTTTCAATAATTGATTACAACATATTAGCGTCCCATCCTTAAAAGCTGTTGATTTCCCGTTTCACTGTTTCCTGAGAATACATGTAGTTTCAAAAAGTGTCAACAATTAAGGTGGTGAGTTCATAAGCTTTTATATGAAGATTTTGAAAACCGTTCTTTGTAATGAATTGTGTGTTGCCAAGAAAAATCCAGTATTTTCCTTATAAAAATGATATGTGGTCTCAAATTCCAAGACCGAAAGTGTACGAGTAATATCCATACTTATCGTTATAAAAGTGGCTGTAAATCGACATAAAACCCTTTGTGATTTACAAAATCCCCGTAAACTTTATGATTAGTTAACAACCTATGTGAGTCTCTATAACCATACTATGACGAACTGCACCTACTGCGACGTTTTTCAAGCATCGGAAAGGTATGACATTTGTCACCTCAGACCTGCAGGCCTAGCTGTTGCATGCAGCTCCTGTGTGGGGTGTTAATCTCAATATAGATCTATACACAACTATCACGTTCTCCTCCAGGAGATTCTGGTTGTAACTATCACGAATTATAACCCGTACTCTAGGAGTACGATGAAGAATGTCTCACAACTTAAATTAACGAGCTTATGTGTAGTGTGTAAGTGTAAAACCTTTTTATGTGGAAATAAAACATTCCGTAATGTGTTTGTTGTGTAAATAGAACATAAACTATACCTATTATAGCTTATTAAAAACATTTTGTAATGATAGAAATCCTTTTTGTATATGATATAAACCGGTATACGAAGGTAAAAGACATGTAATATAAACATGTATTTATATATACTAATACACACCCTACTTAGCAAGCTACAATGTGTAAATGCAATTATTAACAGTTTTGTTAATTTTAACTTTTCTGTTCCTGTTCTTGGAACAATTATAGAAAAATCATTTTTGGTTGAAATCAGAATCCGTAAATTCTGAGAGTTTGGAAAATGTGTCTAGTTTGTTCATAATTTTTATTATGATTTTTAGTAACCTCTAACTTGTGTGAAAATGTCCATATTCACAGACTGGTCCGAAAGGGTTTATGAAATTTTAGGCATAAATTGTAGAAAACTCATATATGGAGATGTGGAAGTAGTCATTTTAAAGGTATAACTATTTGCATAAAAAACAGTTTTGAAAACTAAAAAGTTTAATATGTTCAAAACAGTCTGTGAATGGAACTATACTTTTTTGTGAAAAGCTTATGAATGAGTTTAAGTTATATTAAGATGTTTTAACTTATATCCCCCCCCCCCCACCCCCCTAAAACTTGAAGAAAACATGAAAATATAGGGGTATGAACTCACCTTGACTGATTTCAATAGAAGGATGATGAGGAAAGGGGGTTTCCAAGTCAAGAACACTTGGGAGAAGCTTGGAGATTTGAAGATCTAGGAACAAATATGACGATATTTGTGTAAGGAATCTATGATTTGAGTGGAAGAATGTAAGATAATCAAGTGTAGGATGAAGATACTTACTAAGAGTGAATGGAAAGCTCGGGATCAGCCCTTGGAAGTCTCGAGTTCTTGGGAGAAATAAGAGAGAGAGAGAGAGAGAGAGAGAGAGAGAGAGAGAAAGAGAGAGAAAGAGAGAGAGTGATTTTACTTTTGGTGGGATTTGGTGAGATCTAAAGGATATGAGGATAATGATCCTTTGTGTGTGTAAGTAAGGGAAACTTGTTGCGGAAGTATGAAAGTACAATGAATAAGAGAGTGCTGATGGGGAAATAGTGATATAAAGCATGAATAGTAAGCTAAAGGTGTCATAACTTTAAGCAAAAGTCAAGGAGCACCTTTTGTACTTGAATCTTGTCTAACTTAGTTGTAAAGATATTGATCATAGAAATCACCAAGATATGGGTCAATAATGATTCTAGATGGTTAAAAATATTAAAATATGATTTTGGGTGAAAATCCCACGTTAAAATCATGAAAAACGAGCTTAAAATGGAGTCGGGATCGAAAACTAGTAAAGGATGCGAAAATTCCCTGATCAGGACCGAAGGTTCGGTCCATGAGGGTTAGAATTGAAAGGGAGGTCTCGATCCTCTAGATTGAGAACTGAAGGAGAAGCTGATGGGGGAAAGGAAACGAAAGCGAAGGCAGCAACCGAACCGAGAGTGGCACCCGAACCGAAGGTAGGCTCAGTCCTATGATGTTCGGTCCCGTAGTAGTTCGGTTCCAAGAAGCAGGTTCGGTTCTACCTGGCTTCAGTTCTACATAGCTTTGGTTCCTAGAGTTTCGGTCTTATAAGGCTCGGTTGCTTAGGGTTCGGTTCATCAAGGGTAGGTTCAGTTCTTAAGGCTAGTTTCGGTTCTTAAAGCAGCTTCGGTCCTTTATGCAGGTTTCGGTTCTATAAGGCTGTTTTTCAAATAAAATTCCCGTTTCAAGTGATTTTTAACCAAGTTAAGGGTCGGGATGGCCCGAATGATTATAAAAAGTTGAAAAAGATTTTGAGAGAGATTTGGGAGAGATTTGATAGAGTGAGAGAGACTTCGTTTGTGACCTTCTTCGGTGTTTAGTTTCGCAATGCAAGGTTTGTAAGTCCCGTTATGACTTGTTATGAGATGTTTTACTCCCCTCAAAGGTGTGTAGTTACGTTTTATCGAGTCATACATTGCTTTTCCCCGATTAGGGTTTAGATTTCCTGAACGTATGGAACATCTACGTGATACTTTATATTGAGATAGGTAGTTGTTCATTAGTACCAATGGAGTAAACCCTAATATACAAGGGTTAGTTGAGTTGACCGGTTTGACTTGTTGACTTTATTTGACTTTGACTTGACCAGAAATTGACGGTTGGCACACAAAAATCCATCCACAAGGAGTCTTTTTTCACTTTGAATGTTCTTTATCCACTGCTTAAACAAAGATGAACCAATAGCTAACCTGCAACAAAGTGTGAAGCATATAAGAAGCATAACATGAAACTAGAAACAATTGAAGAGGAAAACATGGATTAAAGTTGGCTAAGATATAGGACGTGTACATAATTTGTTGTATTACAGTAGCATTGAGAGATTGATGAGAATGCTAAATTGCTAATTATTATGAGGATTATCGTTAAACAACCTATGGATAGTAAAGCAAGCATCGATAAGTGGTAATTTGAGTATTCTAATATATTTTATATTTATAATTATCTATTTTATCATAGGTCAAAGTTCATACCTGTAATGGAGTAACTAACGGTGGAAGAAACTTCTTTGTTGGTCCACTTCCATATGTTGAAGACAAAGTCAAATCTGTGCAATGAATGATCCGGATCCAAGTAGAACTCTTTCGACAAGAAACAAAATGGAATTTTCTCATCAATTAAAACTTAACATTACAAAAAAATAAACCAAGAGGGATTCTTTAAGTAACAAGTCATACCTAACCATTATGCCCATTCTGAAACTATATTAGAGAATAGAAATGCCCAGTGGAGGTTTTCTTTTCTTTTTTTATCATACAAAACATCTTCATACTTTTGTACCTAAAACACAAAGATTAGATATCCATGATAATATCATAGTCTATATATTGTGATGAAAAGGAAATTGGGAAGTTGAAATCATGAAAGCACCTTTAACTGGTTATAGGCTTGTTGTCATCGTTATTCCCAAGTAAAGGTTAATGTAGTTCATCCAAATATGCACCTAATAAATGCTTATGTTTTTTTACCACCGACAGTTCCATGACGGAGTCTTTTCCCCATCGTTCTTGATGACATTAGTCCTAGAATGTTTAAACTGTCTTACGCCAGGTCAAATTTTATCAAGAAACCACGTTTTTAAGTTCAAATTTGATATGCTCAGAAGGTATGCGCAGAACTAGATTCATAAATAATCTTTGAGTTCTGAAGTCAAACCACATCCCCTAATTCAAATTCGATGTGGACTATATGCTCAATTTGATAACAAAATCTTTCTACTTTTCATAAGGAATTACCAATAATTATACTTTAGTTGAAGATCTAGAGCAGCTCATACAGTTACTAACTATAGTAAACATGACCTAAATATTCAGGTAATGTAACAAACCTGTAATTAATGAATGTCGGTAAGATTGACTGTTGTCGGAGGTAAATGACGGTGAAACGGAAGCAATCGCTGGCGGCAGACAGTGGCTTTGGTGCAACAGAACGTCGAGTAGGAGGCGGACATGAGGCAATCACTTAGTCGATTGATGGCAGAGTATTGAAGGTGCAATGGACGTCAGTGAGCAACGACGTCAGGGTTCTTGGTTCCCGCGAAGGTGAAACGCAACCTCCGGCGACGAGGGCTAGGGTTATGTCGTTCTTAAATGATGGTGGTGATGTGGGGTCGTCGTGAAGGGAATCCCTGCTTTGAACTAGCTTAGGTTAAGCCGATATACAACCCGCTTAAACAACCTTCTATTTGTAGATTTACCAAAATGCCCGACAATTAATAAATTTATAAATAATAATAAAAGGTGTTTATTTGACCAACGAAATAGCAAACGAATTACGAATTTGTTGTTTTCCGTCGGTAAACCGTCGCAATACTATTATCCTAATTATTCGTCCATCGGAAATCTGTTAGTATTCTGTTGCTTTTCCGACGGAATTTTTTCCGTCGCGAAAATTCTGTCGGTAATGCCCAATTTTGTAGTAACGGATTTTTTTTTTTTTGATCAAGCACGTGACAACATTGCTTTCCTCTAATGATTTATGACTCTCTTCCGTTTGACAGATCCCGTCATGCTCAGATCTATTACTCTCTTCCATTCCACGTACTCTTTTCTCTCTCGAACTCTCATGATTTATCACTACTCCATTAATGCAACAAAATCCTCTTCGTCGTAGCATCTAGAAACTCCTCAAACCACCATGAGAAACTCATCAGAGAAACAATATTTGTACGTACTCAAAGTCTCACTTTCTTTCTCTCCGTTTGGTTTCTCTCTATGCGGAGCATCCTTTGAAACCCTAATGTATATGCGTCTATATAAACGAAGATGTGGTTATTTTGTGGCAAATATCATCTACCTTTCGACGCGAATCGACCGTATCCTACATCTCACGTGAATTTTTGGGGTAAACCTCGACGTGCATACTATGCACGAGATTCTTGTGAGATTGATGAAATCCAAAGATAGCATTATGATCCCTCATTTTAATTCCCTTATGCATAATATACCCCTTTCTTCTAATTCCTTCTCATTGTAAATACCTCATTTTACTCCCTTAAGTCTAATTAAATCTTTATTCCATAGATTTTATAAACTTTATTTTCATTATAGATGGGCAAAAGTTCAACAAAAAAACCATAAAACCAATGAACCAATCTTGGCTCCCAAAAGAAATTGACCAAGGGCCCAAAAAAAGGTATGCAAATTAAAAAGGTTGGACGAATATGCACCACATCGTAACAAAGAACTCATTTTTTTATGTTTTTTTTATGACAAATCTTTTATCGAAAAAAAATCAAATATATCAAAGTTCATAATTTTTTCTCTTTTTTTTATAGACATCCATATTGATATACAAAAAAATAATTTTTTTTTTCAAAAAGCCCATGTCATTTTGTTAGTTATTTTTTTAATAATATTTAATCTTATTTTTATCAAAAAAATAAAACAAATAGATCAAAATTCATAAATTTGGTACTTTTTAAATAGACATTCTTATGATTGTAAAAAAAAAATCGAAACTGTGAACATATTCACACTCTAAATCTGATCACGTTGTGAATTGTACTCAAACTATGAACAGATTCATACTATGAATCTGATCTGCATATAATCTTGTTTTTAGCATTTACGGTGAATAAATTCACTTGTGAATTTTACAAAGCCAACTTGCGAGTAATTAAAACGTTAAAATATTATAAAATTATAATGAAATATACTTCGATTCACATATAAATTTCACTAAATTAATTTGTGAATGATAATAAATGTTCAAATAGTAAGTTTGATTTATATTGTGAATCCCAAAAACAAAATTATATGCATATCACATTTTATAGCGTGAATCTAATTTCCAGTGTGAATCCGTTCCCAGTGTGAATCTGTTTACATCGATATGAATATCTATTTCAAGTGTACCAAAAAATATGAATATTGATATATTTCTTTTGTTTTTATGATAAAAAATAAGTGTAAATATTAAAAATTAACAAAATGAAGTGGTGTTTTTTCAATAAACAAATTTGTTTATATATATATATATATATATATATATATATATATATATATATATATATATATATATATATATATAACAAAAAAAGATTAAGAACTCTAAGTGTCACAACTAGTAATTTTTGGCTAGGAAATTTTGCATGCATGTAACCAACTCCAATGTAACTTGTAATCTAAGTGGATATCATGTCCTATACTCAATCAAAAACGTCCATTTGAATCAAAACTTCTGAGTGAAGTCCAAAACCTAATTTAATACATCTCATATACTAAATTGTGGGTTTGAAACCCTAATGTCCTGGTTCAAACTTAGGATGGGCCAGAAATCCTTTTATTGGGCCTAAGGGGCCATTAAACTTTTCATTTGACTATTTTGGGCCAAGGAACCCCATTTGGGCTCTAATTGGACCCACATTCTTCGAATAATTACATTTGGGCCATGTTAGGCCTACAATAACTCACTTTATTATCATGGGCCTAATGGGTCGTAAATGGGTTCTTAAACCCTAATGGATCGGAAACTCCTTTTTCTTTATTACTATTTGTCAAAACCCGAAATTTCTATCTTTTAAAGTCAAACACATCAAATCGAAGGTCAAAATTATAGGTTTCTAAGCCTAGTATATGTCAGGGTTGTGTGTTAAGAAGTGAACAACTAAGGAAACGAGTTCGGAGTACTGCATTTGGGCCTTAAACCTCATCAAGTGAGGTTCACGGCCGCAAACCAGGTTCACAGCCGTGAACCCACCCTATATATATAAGTTTACTTCATTTTCTCTTCACTTCTTCATCTCTTGGCCGCAATCCTCCCATTCTCTCTCTAGTATCATACCCAAAAACACCTATTTTCACTCTTAAAACACCCATCTCCTTTGTATCTCCTTAGAATACAACTTAGGGTCTTCAAACAATCATTGATTCATCACCTTTCATCAAGATCTTAAATGTGTTCTTGGGCCACGAACCCTCCTTCTGTCCGTGAACCCTTCATCCTTAGCATTACACCAAGAACACACAATAGTGCCAGCTAAAAACCCTTCAAATCTTCAAGGGTCGTGAAGCCTTCACGGCCGTGAACACTTCATGGTGGCCATGAACACCTCTTCAACCTTCCAATTTCGATTCTAACACTTCTCCGTAAGTGTTGCCTACTTCATAGGTTGTTTCCTTTAGACCTTAGATGTTAAATGCACTAACTGTATACATATATGTGTGAGAATATGCTAGTTAGGACTCGTTTGTTCTATGAAACTCCACTCCTGGAAGTAACACCTTTACTTCATTCTTCAATCGAATCACTCGCTCGAGGTGAGTTCATACCCTGATGTTTTTAATGTTTTCAATGTATTAGTGGGGAATACAATTAAAAACACAAGGAAATCTTGTGTTATAACTCAAATGATTTCAAATAGTTTAAAAACATGTCAAGCTCTTTCAAGTGTTGTAAACTATTTATAAAAGAATAGTTCAAACTACTTAAATTGTTTCATACATATATTTTTCCCAGATATGCATGTATATATATATATATATATATATATATATATATATATATATATATATATATATATATATATATATATATAATTAAGATCCAACATGTTTAGGACTAATGTGCCCACGTTACCTCATGTTCCTTCTCTGGTTGTGGACTAGGGTTGGAATCACTTGTCCAATATATATATATATATATATATATATATATATATATATATATATATATATATATATATATATATATATATATATATTGGAGATGAAATGTATTTAAATAAAGTTTTAAACCCTTTTGCAACATGTCAAGCAAAAGGTATTTATCCTCAAGTTACTCATTATGTTATACAAAGTGTTTAATTACTAAGATTCTACATTACATTTAGAACATATAAGTAAACTATAATAGGTATAGTTTAGGGAACACTAATACTATTTTACTAAGTCAGGTTTATCATACTAAAATGATTATTTAACTATAATTATTGTGCACTACTAGTACAAGATAACATATACAATTTCAAGTACAAAAGAACATTAGTATTCTCTACGTGTCTAGTTAATAAAGAGTTGTGCCCATTGGGGTACGATCATTTATAACCAGAGTCTCTTGGAGGGGGAACATGAATTTGTGTATAGATCTATATGGGACTGACAATCCCAAACCTCGTTGTTAGCTACAGTGGGACTGACAGGTCCACGGGTGACAAATGTTGTACCAACATTTTGACGTCTAGATTATGAGATTTCAGAATTTCAAGAGTTTTCATAAACACCAGGGCACTACACTACACTACTACACTAGTACATGAACACACATTTGAGAAGGGATCTATAATGCTAATTCTATGATTTGTTAGCTTATTCATTAGGGTTATATATAAATAGGAGCCGATAGACAGTAGAATGTGTGCCTTTCGCTTTATTTCATGTTCATTTTTTGGTTATGGGCTTAGAGTAGATACACACAGTTTACTATCTATTTGATCTTGGTTATATGTATAACTCGTATACACTAATAAATCATAGGAGGAATCAGGTATAGGTCAGGTTGATACATATACAAGAAAAAGGAACATAAATTTACATATACAAGAGAAAAAGGAACATACATATACATATACAAGAACAATACACTATTTTCTAGTACAAAACATACTTTGGAAAGAACGATTCACTAGGTGCATACAAATACAAAAGATTGCATATAAATACAACGGTACTACATTAATTCTTAAAGTATAATGAAGATATCACTCAAAAGGACCAACACTGTTAATTCTATAATTATCTAGTGCATACACCAGGGATTTATACAATGTAGATCCGAAAAATAGTGGAATGTGAGGCTTCCGCCTCATTTCCTATTCCTTTTTTGGTTGTGGGCTTAGGGCAGAACCACGCAATCGATTATCCTTTCGATCTATAGTGTATATAACTTGTATACACTAGGTAAATGTAGAAGGAACTATTATGGGTCACATTTTCTTACATTTTATTACATAAAAAAATATTGGATTTTCTTGAGGATCAAACTAAGGTTTTCAAAGAACAAACTAAGGTTTTCAAAGAACAACCTAAGGTTTTCAAGGCACATACTAAGGTTTTCAAAGAACAAAGAACATATATTCTAAAACAAAATACTTATGAACTCACTAACTTAAATGTTCATACACTTTCAAAATCACTTGTATTCTCAGGAAACTAATAGACAGGTGCGCTTAGGGATTCTAGAATACGTAGCATAATAGCTTTAAGTCTTTATTTTGCTACTTACTTTTGATGTCAATCATATGTGATTCAAATACAATGTAAACACTATACTATTAATGCAATGGATGTTGTTGCTTGTTTTACTATTCTACAATTGTTGTGATACTTACATGAGGTCCTCCGCCCTTGGATGTTTCTGCCATCTCAGTTTGGAGGTGTGACAGATTGGTATCAGAGCATCGTTTATAGTGAACTGAGTATATCAACCCATAAAATATATACAAACTATAAATACAATGGGATTAAAACACTCTGAACAAGAGTTATACTTTTAAAATATAAGTAATCTTATATAAGTATGCATACATGTATATATACATACTAGAATAAGTATCACAAGAAGAACAAGAACATAGGTATTTAAATGTTGAACACTAAGGTCAAACCTGGACAGTT